AAAAAAAAAAATAAATAAATAAAACCAGCAAAGCTTATGCTAAAATCAATCCAAATTGAACTGAAATATAATTCAATTTAATTGGTTTAGTTTGAAGCAAAACAAAATTTAGCATTTGGCCTAAAATAATTTAAAACCGCAGGTTCTATTTTAAAATTAAAAATTTCGTCTCTCTTTATTATGTCTCACCATCTCTTTAAAAGTAAAAATCTTTAAACTAACCTAGAGTAACATATAATATGCTTAATTTATATTCTTTCTAAATGAATTTGATTTCCTAATCCTACTATGATTCTGTTCTTTGTTTTCTTTGGTTTAATGAATATTAAAACCTAAACGAAAAATGAAAACTAAATATTAAATTTTTGGGGCATTTACATACATACCATCTATTTACTTATCTAGCACTTACACTTCACTTTTTTACATTTTTATCACCCAAAACTTACATTTCGCATCAGCAATACCACTATTTTAACTTAAAAAAAAGTGAAATACACATCTTCATGGTGACATGCAAGTAAAAATTTAACTTTTAAGTGTTAGATATGTAAATGCGGAGGAATTGAGTGGTATGTATGTAGATCTTCCTAAAATTTTTAAAGCCAAAAAACTAATTTTTATTTTAAAATCGAACCGAATCAACCGAGTGAGCTCGGTTAGTTTCTGTCCTTCAGCTTTAACCAAATAAAGTGCATCCCTACCATCGAGTTTGCTCATCTAAGGTTGGAGATTCATGTTGAAATGATTTACTTAATCAGTCTTTTACCTCATTTGATTGACAGGCCATTTACTCTGCAAATCCTCTACCAGTGGAGCTTCTCCCAATCATACCCATCTATGGCAGTTCTCATATCGATGGAATACAAATCCTGGAGGTTGCAGATTATCCTCTAAATGCACTGGTTTTTGTGAGCAAGAATCTGAAAAAGCTTGCTCATGCAGTAGGAGAAATATGCTCCACGCTGCAGCGCCGCAGTACTGTTTTTAATCTCCTCATCTCTGACTGTGGAACAAAGATGTTCCTGTTTCCTCAGGTACTTGCTATGTTCCAGGTCTATAACTCATGGGAAATTTACATATCTTACCCCTAAACTTTCATATTTACGTACATATCACTTTGTTGCTTTAAAGCTATGCATGAAAATGTTTTTTTGAAGTGTTAAATATGTAAATACATAGAAATTAATTGGTATCTATGTAAATCATCCATTGATATCTACATGATGGTTGGCTATGTCAGGTCCATTTGCTGGTGACCGGCCGTCATCTTCATGCGTGGGAATGTGGCGGCTACTTCTTGTACAGCAAAAGCTCAGATTTTGATGATGCCTCTGAGCCGGAGATCTCGGAGCGGCTGGCTTCCGTCTCCATGGACGCCGAGGGATTTCAATCCCTGAAGCAGCTTTGTTGTGGCTTAACAGCCATGGTCTCTTGAGCATTCAGTATTGTTTCTATTTGCTAAGATAGAATAATTAATTGGACATATGTGTGCCTTGCTTTGCTTGTTCAGCACTTGTTTTATAAGTTGTAAGTTGTTTCTGCCTGCACAATAAGTCGTGTTATGTAAAACTGAACTTTCTGTTTGAAAAATAAGTGGAATGTTATTATATGTTATTATGAATTGGTACATGTTTGGTGGAAATCCATTTTGATGCTTTGCGGCTGTGTCATTATGGTGCCTGATTGTGCTGTTTTTGTTGAATATTGTAATTGAATATTGGAAATTTACATACATGCCACATTATTCTAAACTATTTACACAAAATAGAGGGCTGACCTTCTTACCTGCAGCTTAAGAGCAACTGCCTCCTATAAACATGGGAATTGTCCCCCTCTATTCCTTAATGGTTTCATTTATGAGCGAAAGAAGAGGT